AATTGTTATGCGTCAAGAAAAACAACACAAGAAATTGTTTAGTCTGTGATGATGATGATGATGATGATGATGATGATGATGATGATGATGATGATGATGAGGATGATGATGATGATGATGATGATGATGATGATGATGATGATGATGTTTTCTCCTAGGTAGTGCTAAAAATGTATGAGCTTTTCCAAGATCTAAATTTGCACGCTTCGTACAAACTGGTAAATATCTTACCTTTTTCGAGTTACGCAAACACTCAAGAGTTCTGGTTTCATGACCTACAGGAAAGTCTCAGTCCATACTTAAGAGCTCTTAAGTCATGTCTACTCGTTAAGAACACTACGTGAGAACATTTTGAAAGAAAACGTAGAGTATAAATAACGTAACTTGAAAATTATAGCTTGTTAAAAATTACTTTCCAACTTTTACGGTGTGTGCTAAGGTTTAAATATGGTTGTCAGTGCTTTACAGGCTGTGACGTTGTATGTCTTCCAGGTGATACTAACGATGAATCGTTATAGATAGAGTACCCATGTGCAGGGGAAACTCAAGTATAAAAAGCACATAATTTTACCATAAAAAGCACATTACTGTACTGTAAATATGCACATATTTTTACTGTATAGACATATAACTTCAGAGAGCTCTACGCGTACATGCCAAGGGAGGGCGATTCTGTGTGATTTGGACCTTCTAGTAAAGTCAATACGCTAGATAAAGCAAGTTTTTTTCCCTTTACCATTTTGCCTATGATGATTTTCCACGGGGGGAAAAGGGCATAAGCACATAATGAAATCACGAGAACTCACAACTTCATTTCTATCCTACTCTTAGTTGATCATTAGTTTTGTTTGATTTTCCTTTCAACTAGAAATAATAAAAAAAATAATAAACCAGCAGTCGAATGGAAATGAAGTTATGAGTCTTCATGATTATAGAACTGATATCTACACAACTTCCTTTGTGTAACTATACCCGTTTCCCATGGTCTCGTAAATGGCGTCACTTCCTTGTAGAGGTCTTGAGAACATCTGTGGGTTGCTCTATCCATTCGGCTCAGAAGTGATGCACCTTGCTCAGGAATGTCTTCTTACCATCCACGTTATTCTTACAATGGTGTCCTCAACTAGAGGAAAGTATTTGGCATGTTGAACATTCTTTAAGTCATGTAATTTTGTTTCCCCAAGAGGCGAGAAAATTGTTTTAAGTAAGTGCGTTTGGGATTCTTCTTGGATGAGTAATGAAGAGGGCATCCACGTTTGAGAAGTGGAAAAACAAAACCTTTTTTTTTTAACCAACGGTTTGAATTAAAACAGACAGAAGTTAAAATAATACCAAATCAAGGCATTTCAATTTTGGCTCTTATTCTTGTGTAAGTTTGTTAGAGCTGGATAGTTGGCATCTTTTCTTTGCAACAAGTTCGTTTGTATTTCGGGTAAGGTTCTGGGTTATGGAGATTCTCGGGATGGACTACCTTAAATTCTACAACGTATGTGGCCCGTTGGCCTTGAGTTTGACATCTATGCCATAAAACATTAGCCAGAACAATACACAGCCATTTTGGGCAACACAATCACACTGGTTTGTTAACCAAATACCCGTCGTCTGTGCCGGAGACGTCTCGGATCGTGACCCTGAGGGGGGGGGACTTGACATTAAGAGAAGCCCAGGGAAACATTATCTACAAGAAAACAGGAATAGATACTAGCCTAGTCTACAACGGAACTTGAATCAAGAATCCGACCTATTTATTTGATTAGAGGGGTAAAGTTAAGAGAAAATGCTAACGTCATTTGATTCAGAAAAAAATGTAGGGAATGACCCGTTTCAAGGCCAAATCAAGGCTTGTAACTTGACTCTGTAATCATTCGTAACCTCAGTCCGATAATATTTTGCTTAAGAATTGGCGTTGTGCAACAATTACTGATTTTATTATTATTATTTTTTAATTTTTGATTTTTTCATTTAAAAAATTTTTTTATTATAAAAAAAAAGTTTGTTTGTTTTTTTTAAATTTGGGGGGGGGGGGGGGGAGGGAGAGATTATAGAGAAAGCAAAGCAACATAGGGACAGCCAGGAAGGAAATGTTGAAAAAGTAAGCGAGACTGTCAAGCACCCAATTTAAAATGTTGTTGTTGTCGTTGTTGTTGTTTTCAATACAAGCATATTCCCTTTCTCCGTCGGGCATGTTCATGTTAACGCTTGCATTGTTTCAAGTAGTCTATGAATTGCAATGGAGAAAAGAAAACTGGTAGCGTCTTTAGCCTGGCTTGAAATCAAAGACATTTCGTCATTTACTTTTGACGACTGCATTAAATAAGACCGTTCGACTTTGTGTGGATTGATCTGATAAGGTTAATTACTAAAAGCCTACTAGAAATGAACTTAAATTGGTGGAACTGTCTTTAGTTTAAAATAGTAGGATATTTTTAGAAGAAGAAGAAGAAGAAGAAGAAGAAGAAGAAGAAGAAGAAGAAGAAGAAGATGATGATGATGATGATGATGATGATGATGATGATGATGATAATGACATTTTCAAAAAATTATCAATGCTCATACTTTCGTGCTTAGACACTTCGCCGTCACACGCAGAAGAACGGAGTTCGATTCCCGCGAGGGGAGAATTTTTATTGAGTACATGTATCTCGGTATCTCTGTTGGGACGTTTGTTTGTTGGTTGTTTTTTTTCCTTCTCAACCCAGATTGAGCCTGACAGTCAGGGTCGAAGGCTGCCTACTGAATGGTCAAAAATTATGTCGACGGGGGCGTAAAAATACCTACAACAACAACAGCAGCAGCAGCAAAAGCAATAGCAAAGTCAGCACTAACGGCGACAACAACAACAACAACAACAACAACAACAGCAACAACAACAACAACAACAACAACAACAACAGCAACAACAGCAACAACAATAACAATAATAACAACAACAACAACAACAACAACAACAACGACCACAAATTTTCTGCAAAGTTATAGCAGGGTGTTGATCGATTCTCCAATAACACGTTACAGTTTAAAGAATTTTCTTTTCCGGATCAAAAACTGGCGGTGCAATATTATTCCACATGCACTTTTTATCGCTTTAGTAATCCAAAGACCTTCCTGACTGCGTGTGGGTGTTGAGTGGGTGTGCAAGTGTTTACGCGTGGGTGTGTGTGAGGGGGTGGTGTGCTCGTGGTCGAGGTTCTGATTCACTTGTAATCTTACACTTTCCAAGGTCTTAACGTCTCGGCACGCAGTCTCCGGATGCTGAAAAGACGTCCTGGTTTGTTTTTGATTTGTTTTTTGTTGTTGTTGTTGTTGTTTTTTGGAGGGGGGGGGTTGTTTGTGTTTGTTGTTTGTTTTGGGGAGACGGTTGTTCTTTTTGGTTCGTTTGTTGTTATTTGTTGTTGTTGTTGTTGTTGTTGTCTTTTGTTGTTTGTTTGAGGTTGTTATTGTTGTTGTTGTTGTTGTTGTTGTTGTTGTTGTTGTTGTTGTTGTTTTTAATGGGGGGGTGGGGGGATGTTTCTATTTTTTAGGGAGGGGGTAGGGTATTATTCTAGCAGCTTTTATGTTAGAATTTAATGTAGAGTAAAAACATAATACTTCTCTAATCCAACACTAATATTTTGTTACTTTGCTTCATCAAATATTTATCTAAATGTGTAACTTTGTGTTTATTTTAAGAATAGCTGAGAGGATTAAGTGTAGTTATAGGTACAAATGATGGTTTGAGCACTCTAGAAGGGATTTAAATAAATCACAAATGCTTGTGCATGCGTCTACTCTAGCGTTCTACCTCTCAGCCATCCAAATATCAGAAACTGATGTTTCATTCTCTGCTGCGCCACTGGAGTAGATTGACCTTTCGAGAACATAGAGACTCATATCGTGTGAGGCATCGTGGTGAAACCATGCGCTCGTCATAATAATGAGTTCGAAGAAACCGACATTCTTCCACCGATTTGGCAATTTTATTGATGTTTTTAAAAATTATTGATTAACACTTTTTATGTCCATAAAAGGACATATTTCAGTGTGGAGTTTTACAGAAAAAAGACGATTAAAGGCACACAAAGAATACATTTCAATTTCCAAGGACTCTCTAGCTATGGAAGTCACCAAACTTTAGCGGCCTTTTTTCCCCCTCTAAACCAGGTGACCCCCCCCCCCCCTCCTCACACACGCACATCCTTCTATCACAATTATCTCGACTTCTGTTCGAGATAGATGGATATTTTTTTCACCGAAAGCAAAACTAATGGATAATCTGTAAGATGCTACCAATGACTCCGCACTTCCAAAAAACTGACGAGCGTCTGATTCTACTGCGTTGTGACAAGTAATCATGTCTGATCATCAATATGTTGCAGCACATTTCGAACCATTATGCACAAATCAGAAATACGAAACTGCATTTCATAGCTAGCCTGATGTTGTCTGTCGTTTCAAGTTTCAGAGTAAGAAAACAGACTAAGAAAATCTGTAAGAATAACGAAGTTATGCTTCTTTTAAAAAATGCAAATGCCCCAAAACAGCATTTAGACAAACTTTGTCGAATGAACAGAACAGGTGCCCTAAACGAGTTACAATTTGAAGGATTTTAGTAGGTCTATACATTTAAAAGCATTCCAGAAGCCATGCCATTTTCCTAGTTCAATAGTGTTACGATTTGTATTTTTACCCCTGATCTAAAAAGATCTGCCTTCCTTTCCGACACGGCGGGCCATTTACATCGAGTATCTCCGTCTTTCTGAAGAGATGAACCCCTCACATCCTGCGATGTCCCAGACGATCAGGATCAAAGTCGCCCTTTTCGTTATCGAACCTAATTGAGACCATGTTGAAGTAAAATATTACAGGAATTTGCGAAGAATATTGAGATACATTTTGCAAACTACTTACAGCTCAGCATGTTGTTCACATGACATTGCTTTCTTCTTTTTTTTATCATGGTCCTGAACTGGCGTCGGTGGTGTACCGGCTAGGTGCTTTGCCATTGCATGCAGAGGATATGAGTTTGATTACCATGAGGGGCGAAGTTCTTCATCGAGTATATCTGTCTGTCTGCTGTGACGTTGTATCTCTCTCTCAGTCCAGGTCGGCCTTGGCTGCCACCCCCTAAAGGATCTAAATAGTGTCGACGATGGCGTGAAAAGTCAACAATTACAATTTCTTTTCAGGGCTCTGACGATGAACAAGATCATCCGACTACCAGACTACGCCTTTCAGAACAACACGAACCTCATACAACTGTAAGTAAACATGTTGCAATACATGGGATGAGAACTCGTTACCATGTTATAGCGTGGTATAGGTTTAAATAATAAAAGATAGCATTTATATAGCGCATATTCCCGATAAACAGCAATCAGCTCTAAGCGCTTTACAACCAATAATACATGTATTACCTCAGAAGACCTGATAGCATTATTCTGAAACAATTTCATGTCCTTGAAAGCATGCAGCTCTTCTTCCAACCCGACAGAGATGTTCGACGAACGAGACTTTCGATTCAATACGTATATTCGACAAAGCCGAACGAAACAGGTGGTGCATCAGCAAGTCTCATAAAGACAGTCATACGTGAAACATTTGCCAGTGAGGATTCGAACCAGGGTTGTCCCATCCCCATCCCCCCATGATACCAGCTGAGCTAACGACGCAGCCACCTGCATGGCTGACAGACAAAGATACGCTCTTAAAAAAAAAAATAATAATTGCCTTCCAGCGTGAAACCAACCGGGAGAACGGAGTTCCTGGAATATTTGATTCGAAAAAAAAAAAACAATGTCAAAATCTTTGTGAGATGTCCTCGGGTCAAAGATATTTAATTAAGAATACAATTACTTTTTTTTAAAAACCACGCTTCGAATGTTGACTTTGACAAATTGCGTGGGGAACACGCGCCATGACAGTTATGGTGAATAACTAGCTATTACCAATGATCTTCTACGTAGAATGCATTGAAGGGAACACGATTAGCTCTGTTGTAGTCACAATGAAGCCAAGATGTGGATTACCTTGGATCGAATCCTCAACGACGAATAACTGAACTTGGGTTGGTTTTTAGGAGCTTCCATCTCTCTCTCTCTCTCTCT